TTTCATCCCTGATCTTGGTAGTTTGTGTCTTCTTTTTTTTTAGTCAGTCTGACTAAACAGTTATAACTTCTATGAGCCATATAAAGAATTCAAACTAAGATTCACAGATTTTTCATTGTTTCTTAAAATTTCTGTTTCACCACTTTTCTTTTTTGGCTTTTTTTCTTTCTTATATATATGTGGGATTTTATTTATTTTTCCTGTTCTTGATTCTAAATACGGAAGCTTAGATTACAAATTTTACATCTTTCTGCATTTCTAATGTAAGCATTCAACACTATAAATTCCCCCGTATGGCTTAGCTGCAAGTCATGAATTCTCATATACTGTGTTTTTATTGTCACTCAGTTCAAAATATTTTCTAATTTCCCTTCAGATGTTTTCTTTGACCTCGAGTTCATTTAAAACAATTCACTTAATTTCCAAATATTCCAAGAATATCCCAGGTTTCTGTAAAAATTTTATTTATAATTTGATCCTGTTGTTGAAGAAAGATGTACTTTGCATGCTTTCAATTTTTAAGATATATGGAGATTTGTTTTATATCCCACTATAGGGTCCATCCTGCAGAGTTTTGTGATATTCATTGAAAAAGTATGTGCATTTTGTTTTGTTTTGTTTTGAGGGAAAGTGCTAAAACTTTAGGTTAGGTATTTGCTATTTAGTAATTTTCTGTTTAGCCAGTCTATCACTTATTGAGAGAAAAGTACGGAAATATCCAACTATTATTACCCAAGTTTAATATCTCCTTTTATTTCATTTCTGCTTTGTGTTCTGTGGGGCACTATGAACATACACTTTTATAATTGTCTCATTTCTGTGATAAACTATTCCTTTCAGCACTATGAAGTTCCCCTCTTAGCTCTAGTAATATTTCTTCCTTTAAAATCTATTTTGTCTTAATAAATACCGCTGACTCCTTATTATTGTTCCTGTTTCTATAGTCTGTCTTTTTGTATCCTTTCATTTTAACTTTTTTGTATTATTGAAAAAATTGAAAGTATATATCTCATAGACAACACATCAATGAATTTTGTTTTTGTAGATCAAGTTTTACAACATGTACCCCTTGAATTGAATGTTTTCCCATTCATATTTAATGTCTTTATTTATATTTTTGGACTTACATCTGCCATTTTGCCACTTGTTTTAGGTATATCTCATATTTTTTGTTCCTCCAACAGTATCTTCTTCTGAAATTATTTCTTCAAATATTTTTCCAGGTATTTCTCTCTTTTGGTTGCTCCTATTTTATGTAAATTGCTATGTTTTTTCTCCCCTTGTTCTTTGGATTTAATAATTTTGTATACATCCCCCTAGGATCTCAAATTTGTTCAGATTCAGTGATTTTTTCACTTTGGTAGGTTATGATACTTCTCAACATTAGAATTTCCTTCTTTTCCTTTTCTTTTTAATCATCAAATTTCCCTACGTGTTGTGTCATTGTCATCATTTTCTGCTGTCAACTTTTGAAATAGTTCTTTTTGATTATTTGAACCTATTTTAACATTGTATTGAAATCATTAACTGACAAATTCAACATCTTGGTCCAGTGAGCATCCTTTTCAACTGAATCCACCATTTCCTGAGTGTGGATCACACTTTCTTCATTCTTTATAAGCATCACAATTTTGGTTTTAAACTGTACATCACACACTTTATCTTTTAGTATCTGTGGACTCTATTTTCTTTTTTCTAAATGCTTTTAAAATTTTTCGTACTTTCCTGGATTAATAGGCAGAAACTTTCTCTTTTTTTCTCTTCATCAATTTGTGCCATTGCAGTGTCTACACATATCTTAAATATTTATTTAAAAATCTTAGTTCGTAAAAATCTTAGTGGTTAGCTATTTATTTGGGTAGATATTTTGTTCAAACATTTAAGCTCATAAAGCTACCATTCTCTGTTACTGATTTGTATGTGGGTCAGGAGGACATTCAAAGTTAGGGCCAGTTCTCCCATCTCTTTAAATTTTACCTCTCACTTGGAGTCTCTTGCACAGCCGTACAGATTCCACTTATTCTGGAATGTATGGAAAGCTTTAGTAGCCCTTTTATTGCTCTCTCACTCTCACTTCTAAGATATCACCTATAAATTTTTGGCATTGTGTGTGTGTGTCTGTGTGTGTCTGTCTGTCTGTGTTAAGACAAATTATCACTATATATCCCAAGCTGACCTCAAACTCACAATCTTCCTTCTTCTGCCTCCTGAGTATAGAGATTACCAGTATGTACCACCATACCCAGATAAACTTCAATTCTTTATGAGTAAATAAAGGGGTCAGGAGAATTGCCAGTATGAAAGTCACAGACTCCTGCTGTTCTTACATTACGACCTTGCAACATATAAAGATAACTGTTTTTCAATTTGTTCTCCATATGTGGTCAATTTTCAGAGTCCTAACATGGTTGCTTTGGGCAATTTTGTCCTGTTTTATACTTGGATTCACTGCCCTGTTTATACAAACATAGCTAGAAGTAATTCCAATGAGGTTGATTAATAAAGCTGGATAAATGTATCGAGTGAATGTGAAATGTAGTTGAGTATATAATCATCTGTTTGATACTGATGCTAAAGGACAAGAAAGTCTCTGATAAGGGGAACACGTTTAGAATCGTTCCATTTGAAATGCAAGTAGAAATCAGCCTCTCAGGCTCTTGACTCCTGGCAAAGTACCATGACTGTAAGATTAATGTATTTTACATAGACACTCACCCCTGGCTCTCAGTTCCCTCAAGGATCAATTGAGTGATTCCTCTCAATTCTGAAAAGATTTATTTGTACACACACAAAAAACTTTTTAGATAAATCACCATTTTCAAGGCCATTATTTACACATCACTGTGTCCTAGATTTAGAAAGTCAGTGATGAAAGGAGACACATATTATGTAGGATCCCAGGTTCAAAGATAGAGAAGGGGGCTGGCATAGAGGCTCATGCCTATAATCCCAACTACTTGTGGGGTGGAGATCAAGAGGATTGCAGTTCAGTGCCAGCCTAAGCAAAAAGCTGGGCATGGTGGCAAACTATGCAGAGCAAGTATACATAAGAGAAACATGGTCCAGGCCAGCCCCCTACAAAAATATGAGACCTTATCTGAAAAATAACTAAACCAGAAAGGGCTAGGGGCAGGCCCAAATGGTAGAGTGCCTACCTAGCAAGCATGAACCCAGGGGTTCAAACTCCAGTACCACTACTCCCGCCCCGTGCAAAAAAAGAAGTGGCAGAAAGGGCCAAAACCTTACCTACTTTTCTTCTTCCACATATCTTACAGTAAACCATGAAAGACCTTCAAGAACCCTAGATCACCAATGACCTCAGTTTAATAAATACTTACAAACTTTGACTTTCTCATTTCATAAGGGAGAAAACTAAGACTCAGACAATTGACCCACCACCAATAATGGATCATATAGATGACTATCGGTGCCTAGATGGATTAATCTCCTTCACTGCATCACTTCTAGATACTACGTGACTTTTCTTATAGACAGAGACTGTGGCACATCTACCCCTGTCATGTTATGCCTTTTATCTTACCCACTAAATTGGGCTCAAAATATCTGTTGAATTTATTAATTAAATCAGAAGTGTCATACCCTGAATTGAAATACAGAGGAAAAGAACCCATATTCTATATCTGACCGTGATGCAAACCCTCTGCCCCATTCCATATCATCTTTGTGTTTACCCTAATCTGTATAGAGAATTATCCATAAATATTTTTAGCTTCTCTAGAAAAAGTTAAAGACACACTGACTCTCTAAGTTTGAAAAATGTTGTTTTATTAAGTCCAAGGTGTATCATGCATGAGAGGTTGGCATGAATACATAGGTTGGCATGAATTTCCCAGATAAATGTTTTGATGTGCTAAACTAGTTTCCTAAATAATATCAGGCAGTTAAGCTTCCCATGTTACATCACCATTACAGTGGTTGAGTCTTAGAGTAAATAAGTCATGGAGGATAAGCTGTGGATTCTGCTATAATAGCCTTGGGTCAACTGTACCCAAGACTATTATAGACTATTAAGACTGTACAGAAGTCTATGTCCAACAGACATGGATACAGAAGGGTAGAGAAAACTCAGTGAACAGGGAAAGTATTTCCAAACAGTACTTTAATGGAGTTTTACCTCTTTGAATTAACCTTAGAAATAAAGCTATTTTATACACAGTAAATTGGCATAGTTAGAATAAGAATTTAGAAGAAGTAAGTGCCATTATAATTTCTTCTTTTCTACATAAATTTGAAGCAGAGACTGTTTTGTGTTTGGACAACATTGCCTGGTCTATGTCTTCCTGATGTACTGTAAGCAATAGCTTATTTTCTTCATCCTGACATGAAAACTTCCTCCCTTCTTTTCTTCTCCTTAATTTCCTATTTATCTTAGTCAGGGTACAGTGGAACTCCAACCATTGGAACAGAATTAGGTTCAGTGGATTACCACTCTGCTTTTGATAGAATGTCATACAGCGGGATATGGACTGTCTAAGACCTTAAATTTGTTCATCCCTTCATATTTACTTATGGTCTTTTGTGTTTAGCAATATGGTGTTCCTCCCATTATCTAAGTAACAGAGGCAGTATTTTAATATCTTCATTTTACAGAAGACAGAATGATGGTTCAGAGAGGTAATATGAATGACTCATGGCCCCACAGTTAATAATAGGAAAGCCACACATTAAAATAATGCTTCCTGTCTCCAATTTATATGCCTTTTACACTATATTATATCATATAAAAACAGACAAAGCAACCAGGTAGTAAGCCATTATTAAACATAAACATGGAAAGGTTACACAAGCCACTATCCTGCTTGTATTACAAACCTACAATTAAAATAATCAAATGATTATTTATAAAAATGATTGGTGGGGCTGGAGATGCAGCTCAGAAGTAGAGTGCTTGACTAAAAAGATAGTTTGGTGATGCATGAGTCTCTAAGGTAAGACTATGTTCACAAAATACCTGGTGTCATTCTCCCCTAGTGACTTACCCTGTAGCTAACATCCTCCAAGAGAGTAGAGGCACCCACAGTACAGCCTGCTTGCCACAAGGTCTCCTTTGTGCTGCAACCATAAAGGAACACATTCTTTCTTTGGGAGTGACCATGGAAATCACAGAAGACCTATAAAAGCAAACAGGGGAGAAAACAAATCCTGGTCAGATTCACTGGCTGATGCTTGAAATGTCAACTTTCTCTGGTAGATATTGTTTACTCAGCAGAGCCAGCTATGTGGGGATAAGTGATGACTTTGGCAAGAGTTGTATTAAAGGGTTAAAGATGTAGATTGCAGGGCTCCTAAGAGCGAACAGAATCTGAGGAAATGCAAATCATGAATAACCTCCTTTAAGAAATTTACTGGTGACTGGGAGGAGACAGGGTCAGAGCTTGAAGAGAAACTAAGAACAAAGGCATGTAAAAATATGAGAGTTTAAAATAATTTTAAAAGTCAATTGGGAAAGATCCACTTGAAAGTGATAGATTGAATAAACAAAAAAATGAAGTTAATAAATCACTATAACTTTTCTTCAGGTTCTAATGTAGTAAAGAATAACTATTAAAACTCAGTGGCTTCCCCAACAATGGTTTATATTTTTATTCATGCTATAGATTAATTATGACACTGCACTGCATGACTTCATTCTAGAATCTAAAGTCAAGAGAAGCCCTAATTTAGGACAAGATATTTTTGTGGTAGAGGGAGAAAAAATGTCAAAGATAGACCCATGCAGTGACTGTCAAAGCTTTACAGCAGCAAAGCCAACATCATATCTGCTCACATTCCATTGGTCAAAGTCACATTGTCAACCTTATCAATGGAGAGGGGATATAGATTCCTTTTATGTTTGCTCTGCAAGTCCCATAACAAAAGGCAGTGATTTGAAATGCTATTACTCCAAAGAGAAAGGTCAATAATTGAGAAAGATAAATTCTAAAAGAGGACCACAAATTCTTCCCATCTCTATACATATGACTTTTGCAATGGACCAAGGTCCACCACCATTAAGAGAGATAAAACATTTCTTCAACCTTTAAATCTAAACTTAGCCTTTGGTCAACAAAAATGGATAAGCTGAGATTTATAAAGCAATAATACTTGGACTTGCTGTCCTGATGCCTGTGGGAACCCTGCTGCAACTGCCAAGTGAATGAGCTTAGGCTAGCCTGCTAGAGGATAAGGGTCACATTCCAAGTCCTCCTGTTGACCTAGTTGATACCAGACACATGAATGAATCCAGCTTAGATCACCATCCCTGCTAACCTTCACAGACCAAAATCACCCTGCTTTCCTGGATGAGTCTCACTCAAAATCATTAGAAATAATACATAGATTTTGTTTAAGTCATTCAGTTCTTTTTTTTTTTTTTTGTCTTAGGGTTTGAACTCACAGCCTTGCACTTGCTAGATCAGTGCTCTACCACTTGAGTCAAGCACTTGACCCTTTTTCTTTATTTTTCAAATAACACCTCATGTTTGTGACTGGGCTGGCCTGTACCACAATCCCTACTTAATTTTCCTTAGTATCTGGGATGACAGATATGGGCCACCACAGCTAGTTTTCATTGGTTGAGATGGGTTCTCTCAAATTTTTGGCCCAGGATAGCCTTGAACCGTGATCCTCCTGAATTCTGCCTCCCAAGTAGTTGGATTATAAGTGTGTAATGTGAGTCAACTCCCTGTATAGCTATCCTTATCTCAACTAGCAAAAACCCTTGTTCCTTCCTATTATTGCTTATACTCTCTCTTCAACAAAATCAGAGATAAGGGCAAAATAGTTTCTGCCTGGTAGTGAGGGGTTAGGGGGGAGAGGGAGGGGGTGGGGGTGGGTTGTAAGGGAGGGGGCGGGAAAAGGGGGGAGAAATGACCCAAACACTGTATGCACATATGAATAATAAAACAATAAAAAAAAGAATGTAAAAAATATTAATAATTTTAAATAGTGATTATATGTTGAAATGGCAATATTTTGGCTGTATTGTATTAAAATATACTATAAAATTAAAAAAAAAATAATAAGTGTGAGCCACCATGCTTGGCAAAGCCACTAAATTTTGTAATCCAGCAAAAGCTAAGTGCTGCAATCATTTGCCCTTTTAGTATAAATATCTATGCTTCCCTCCATTCTACAACCAAAATACATAAACCTCCTGCCCTGTTGTAGTATTAACTTTGACTCCAAGACCCCATCATTGTTTCTATATTTCATATGTGCCTTCTCCTGATTCCATGGTAAGTTTGCCTTCTGCTCACCTGCACACACTGGTGAAGTGAGGAAACAACCCCTCTGGGCACTCACGTTTGAAAGGGATGAATAGAATGGACACAGCAGTCAATTGTCCATAATGATTCTGAAGTGCTAATTGGCAAACTCCTGAAGTTCCTACCTCCTATTGGTTAGGTCAGTTGGTTAATTAGCTCTGCCAGTAGCTCTCCAGTAGTTTATTTTTCTTCCCCATTATGCTTCAAAGACATTGGAGAATATGCAAATAGGGGGCTCCTGGAGGCTGAGAGTCTAATCATTCCCATTCCTGATATACAAGTTTAGGTGTTCAAAGATCATTGTGGTCTTCAAAAGTCACATTCTCTTGGAATGAAGGCACTGGAAAGCACAAGTAATAAACACATGAAGACAAGAGAAAATATTTTTCTCTTTTCCTTGATTTTAATTTCTCTAAAATGCAAATGATAGTCTAAATCTAAATAATAGAAACGTTGAGTATGGTTATAACATATGTAAAGTAAATATATCAACATAAATATAGGATCTATAATTTAGTAATATACTTTTACAAGGTTCTGATAGCATACATGAAGCAGTGTATTATCTGAAGGTAGATTCTGACTGATTACAGACAGATGGTATAAACAATAGAGAAAACTCTAAAATATTTAAGGGGGCATAAATATTGACTCAATAGAAAGACAATGTGGGCTCATGACATGCTCACTTAATACAAGAGAAATCAGAAAAGATAAAAAAAACTCTAAGAACAGATGAAACAAATATAAAATACCCAGCATGATGACAGATTTCAATGCAAACCTATAAATGATCCAATGAAATGTGAACTTTAAAATGCATTGAGTAAAAGATAAAGAATGTCAGATGAATAAGCAAGATCAAATATATTCTGTCTACAATAGATCCATTTTCAATACATAGATTAAAAGTAAAAATAGATAAAATATATGTACTATGCAAACATCAAGAAAGGAAAATGGAGTAGTTATATTAGTAATCAGATAAAGTAGACAGCAGAACAGGAAGTATTATGCAGGTTAATATATGAGGATTGTAGTGGTTGACATGTCTATCTCGTCTTTGGTGGTTAAGTGTTACCCATCAGCCTCTGCTACATTACAATTCTATAATCTCCATCCAAATCAAAGACTCCATATTTGGCATGGCATTGCCTGTAGAACTGGCCTTCAAAGAAGAACAACTATAAGTTTTTCAAAAATCAAAATGCTCCATTACTAATGTATTTCTCACTTCCTTAACAGAGAGAGTATCTTCCAAGCCCTCTCATAGATGGGAAGTGAATATGCGGAACTCACAAGACAAATACAGTACATGCTCCTTTCTCAGGGAAGCTCTAGCATCTCTACCTGAAAAAAAATGCAGGGTACATTAAGCATGGGGTTTAGTCAAGCAACAAATTAAGCTGTTAGATCATGCCCAATTTCTGAAGCTGACAAATTGCCTCTAGGCTGTGTACTCTCAGCCCAATCCTAGCAATATGTTCCATCCTTATTAGTAAAAACACCCTTAAAATCCAGTCCTACATCTACTGCCAATGTTTCTGATGATATGTATGCTCAAAGTCTTGTTATACTTTTTGTTTGCAAGCTACTCCCTCCCTATCTTCTAGTATAATTCTGATTTTGGACCCTAATTACCAGATGGGAAGGGCAACCTGGGGTAGTTGTGGATCTTAAAAAGAATAAGCATCTTCTTCCAAGGCATCTGCCCCAAGTGAAGTTATCTCAGCCTTTTCCAGCAGAAAAAAAAAACTACTCTTCTCTTTCACCATCTCCCCTATTGAATGAGCCTTGAATGATGTTCTAGTCTAGAGTAGAGAGCAATGGATCTCAAATATTAACAGGCATCCTAACCTGGAGGGCTTGGTAAAGCAAAATTGCTGAGCCACACCCCAGCAAATCTGTGATTCAGGTAAGTCTGATTCAGGCCCAATAATGTGCTTATCTGTGAAGCTCTCAGATGATACTCCCTGCTGGGACCATACTTTGAAAATCTTTAATCTAGAGGAACCAATGAAACAATTGTTTGAGGCTTTATCATCCTATACCAACCTTTATCTCTTACATCTCAGTTTCTCTCTGTGAATAAACACCCACCACTCTTACAGAAAGTGTGCAAACAAATTAAGCCTGTGTCTTAGCAACAGATTTCTCAATAAAGCCAGAAGCTATGCCTCCTTGGTGACGACAGGTACTCCTTAAATGCTGAATTCAGCGGGAGAAAAGAGTTGTTATGTTTTTCCTGATCCTTACAGACTCTGAAAGCAGAGGTAAGTGACAAATTATAGACCCATTCACCTGTGAGAATGAGTATTGCTAAGCCCTAGGAGTTCTAGTGGCCTCTGCAGATTCAGAGGGAAGGAGATGGAGACATTGTTCTGCTTGTTGCTCAAATGACATCCCTAAAAATAAATGCCTGTTAATTATAAGAAACATGTGTTCCTCCAAATTGCAGGGGGCAATTACAAGACAAATTATCAAGTTATTTCAGTTGAGGAAGTCTTTTCTTTTCTTCCAGGGAAAGTCTGTGCCAGGTTAGTAAGAAGTGTTCCCAGTTCAAGTACTACATCTCCACCTGTTAATTAATCAATAGCCCTATCTTACTTACTTGTCAATTGATTCAACAAAAATTTACTGCATGCTTCTTCTGTGGCAGCAGAAATTAAATTTTAACATAGCACATACCTCCTTAGCAACAACAATAATAACAATAGTGAATTTATTGAAAACTTATGAAGTCCAAGCTACTGTGCTCAAACTTAGGTAAAATATGTATTATATAACTTATTAGTGTGCTAAAACTTACATATCTTATATCGCTTATTTAACACATAATAATAAAGATTTCATGAAGTCTTATT